GGAACTAAACTCTGCAGGGCTGCAGCCCTCCAGGAACTGAGTTTGGCACCCCTGGTTAAAAATGCTGAAATGCTTTTTAAAAATAAATAAAAAATAGTTAAAACAACTTTTATAAAATTTACAGTTTGTTAAAAAAATGTTTTTGAAATCATGTTTGTTTATTTTATGGCAATGTGTGGGAATTATTAGTTCACTGTTTTTACCTAAGTTTTTGTCTGTTTGTTTGTTTTCATAGTGTGACTCGGGTGAATTATACCGAATCCAATTACACATAGTGATTGCACCAAGATTCGTAACATAATATGGGGGTAATAAAGAATACCATAAGTAAGAAAACAAATGTACCTGCATTGTATCTACGTTGAAGAATGACTGATAGTACTCAAACGTCCAAAAACCACCAGTTTGTTTTTCACCCCCAAGCAACTGTGGGAAAATTCAAAGAAAATGGCTTATACTAGTGACCCCTAAACTAAGATGCATGTGAAATAATCAGCTTTTTGTAGCCTCATTTGCCTGCTTGGTTTTGCAGCTCACCTCTGAACTCTCTTGCTGATGGTCTTCATCGTCTGACAGATCAACTTTGACATCTCCAGAGAAGACTGCTGCGCCGGGGCTGGAGATGCTGAGGGTGGAGGCTCCAGGATTTGAAGACAGGAGATCTGCGGCCTCCTCAAACTCTGGAAACGTGCAGAATGAATATTAAAGCAGAAAGATAAGAACGAGACAAAACAAGAAAGAACACGTAAGAACTACATAAACCTTACCCTGAAACGTTAAATCATCTGGACTAGCCATGACTGGAGATCACAGGTTCTCATAAGAATATTATCTGCGCGGAAAGAAGACAATAAAGATAATATAATCATACGACAGCTGTCACCACCAAATTCATATTTAGACTGATTCGCTCACCTGGCTGCTACAATATGGTAATCCTGCGCCAATCCTGACAACTTCGACAATCAAGCTTGTTTCGAGCTAGCAGGTACAAAAACAATTGCTTCGTCAGACCGGATGGTATTTAATCGTATATTTTGACGAACTGAGATATAACAGATCATTAGCCTAATCGATTGTAGCTAGAATAGGGTTGATACCGTCTTGACACACAGGGATTTGTCGTTATCGTCCCCATATTCCACGTCACCTGCAGGGTTCCGATGCGTCAAAACACAATCACGTGACCGGAACAAAGCCGGAACTAAAACTGGTACGTTTTTACCTGTTTTACCTCTTTTTTTCCGAGTATATTGATGGCTTAAAGTTAAGTATCAGCAAGGCAGGTTGTGTTATATCTAAGACAAACGTTTTTTTCTTCTCTTTTTTAAATAAAAGACCCTCTGTATCGTTCTTATTTTAGTTGTTGTAAGTAGGCTACTTTGATAAAGCAATTTCCTGACTGTTATCTTATAGTTTCATATATTCTACAGTCATATTTATTAATACATACGCATGTGATATTGTCAAAAGTTCTCAGCGAATAAGAATATTTGCTTGCCAAATTCCACATTCACAGATCCAAATATTTGATACAAATAATTCCAGACCTCTCTGTTTTGTTTGAAATAAAATTTTTAAAAACATTATCTGTGTCCTGTATCCATTCCTGTTTTAGTGACATAGCTCATAAGAATGCGTGGTGGAACCGAAAAGGCAATATTTTGTTTCCTCACCGGACCAATAACATTACACGTACCGTGCTCTACGCCATTTTGTGCTCAGCAGTTTCACCAGCCTCCGTTGTTACGTTGAGCCAATGTTGGAAACTGTCGGCTGGAAGCTTTTCCTGCGCTTCATTCACCGTGAACTGTGAACTCTCACACTTCGTGAGTTCATTTGTTAACATGGCCGCCTCGTGGCTGCTGAAGAGATGGTGCTCCACAGCAGCTACAGAGACAACCAAGGGCACAAAGTGGCAAAGACTGGTAAACAGTCGCGCAGGTAAGATTAAGTCACGGTTATTCTTTTTCCTTCAGACATAAGTATAAAAAAAATACTGTTTGTATTACGATTAGGAGGTCAGTCACATGAGCCAAGCGTACATTAGTTATTATCAGGGCGTGTACATTTTTTATCAACGGAAATACAGCTGTAGTTTGCTAACTAGTTTTTTTTTTATCTGTTATTGTGGCATTAAAATATAATTTCGTATTGCTTTAGTTTTTTCTTACTGCATCATCTTTCATACAATATGTGGCAATTGTAAAATTATATTAGCTGAACATGAATCAAGATCTGCTATTTCTTCACTGTTTTCAGGTGTATGGTGCCGAAGTCTTTTAAGCGATTATAAGGAGGCTTGTCGTGAGACAGTGCTGGGGGCCCGGGAGCGACCCCTTAAAGCCTCGGTCTACTTGGGGCTTCTGGGAGGAATGTACGCCTGCTATTACACCAACCCTGATGATGCCTCCTTTGAGACCAGCCTGCTAGAAACCTCCAACCGTCTGGCTCTCCTGTCTCCATGGATACGCAGTGGCACCTCAGATGGACACGTCCAGACCCTTGTGAAACTGCAAAACGAGGGCAAGCTGCGCTATGCCAGTCTGGGCATCGCATCTTTGACTTATTACACAGACTATGACTCCGAGTCCAGCCTGTATGAGGCGCGCTGCTCGGCGATCTCTGTGCCCTGGTCAGAACTGCCAAAACGCGTGCTGGATGTGGGCTTTGCGGGACGCTGGTGGGTGCTTGATCATAAAATGAAGGATTTTGATATAAATGAGGAGGAGTTCAGACATCTTCCGCCTGCTTTGGTGGCAACAGTCCCACCGTCACCCCAGATAACAGAACGGAACGAAAAGCTGCATCAGGAATCATGGAAAGCTGTGGTGATGGGAGACGAGAGCAATGAATTAGATGGTATACAAAAAGACATGGACACACCTGTTAAAGAAATGGAGAGCAACGCATTAAACAAAGCACAGACTTCTTAATCAACATGTTAACTTTAATGCTGTAGCTCACATAAAGATGACCCTAAAGAAACATGCTTGCAAGAGTCAGCTGTTGATAAGAAATGAAAAGTAAAAGTTATGTTAACAGGAATCATTATTATAATGTGTTTATGGAAATAAGCAACATAGTAATGTAGTCTATTATTTTTACTGCAAAAAATATTTGTGCATATAAGTGTGATTGGTTGACTGTAAATATATTAAAACAACTGCAGTGTATGCTGACCTTGTGTTATGTGACAGAAAAGCAGTACATTATCACTACATAAACTGTAAAAAAAAAGTTTTTATACGTATTAAATTTAACAATATTAAAATTTTTTATAGAATAATTCTCCATCTGTGAGAGAAAAGCAAGTTGTTTTTTTTTTTTTTTT